CAGGATTTATATATGACCTCTTTCGCATGCCATGCCTAGTGAAAAGGAGAAACAGAGAACTCGAAGTAGCGCTCCAACGTCCCCAAGACGCATGGAGATATCGTTACCGTTGTCATCTTGATGACGCCTATGGCTTGATATTTCCACTGGGTTTCCTTGGCCTTCATCATTTTTACCTCCGCCGGTTTAAATGGGGCCTGCTGTACTTATTTACGTTTGGAATTTTTGGTATTGGTTGGATCATCGATTTCTTCCGTCTTCCAAGTTTGGTGAAAGAAGCAAACCGAGAAAATCAACCAGTTCAAGCCCATGGATACATAGTGACCACAGCACGCCATCCATCTTTCCCTGGGCAAGCGGTGCCAAACAGCGGTCAAAGTCAATCGCTTACAACAGAACAGTCTGGGACATTTACACACGTTGATACATACAGTGGACCCCCAGCCAACTATGACCCTCCAACTTACCATGGGGGACCTCAAGGTGCGTTTGTCTTCCTATTTCTTATGTAAGAATTAAAAAAATTAATCTTAAATGAGAAATGGTATACCATCAGTTTGAAAAATCAATGTTTTTTGAACGAGTTTTTGTCACATTAAACTAATCGTGGTATGTGACAGGTGAAAAAGCCAGTAACGTTAAAAAGGTCTTTATTGCTATTTAAGCATATACTTATCATCGCTATTGTCTTATGTCACAGATCACGCTGTTGCCCCACCACCCCCTTATTCAGAGATTGCCGGAGGACAATCACATGGCTTCCAGTACAACCAAGGGCAGTCACAGCCATATTTCTCTGGTTTACAGCAACAAAACCAGTATCAACAACAGCAGCAGCAACACCAGTGTCAACAACAACAGCAATACCAGTATCAACAACAGAGGGATCCATTCCAACAACAACAATACACTAACTCCTATGGTGCCCTGGCACCTCATGCACCACCTCAAGAAAAGTCACATTAATTTATGCTTTATTTTGTTATTTATTTCGATGACAGTTGTCACAAGATATCACCCCTTAAAAAAAACTATCCGTAAGATGCCAAACGGCGTCTGATTTGTTTAGGATATGGAGAAGAGGAATATTCATGCGATTTTTTGGGCTTGGTTGATTGTGTTCATATTGTTTTAGATGGAAACAGAATTTGTTGCGATTTTAATTATAATAATGATGAACAAAAATGCTACTTTGAGCAGCCAGAACCTAGGAGGACTACGTATAGCCTAAGAAGCTTCCGTTAGTTAATAGTGCTCTTAGGTGCAAACATAGTAATTAAATTAAATTCGTTTAAATAGTACTTATATACCGTGGCCAGGGAGGGGCCGGGGTTTGAACGAAGAGGTACTATTTGCCGGGAAAAGGTCCACTCTGGGTACAATTGATAAAGTACACGAAGGTTTCATCGTAAAAGGTCCCACCTTTGAAATTGATGGCTCCGGACCTGCTTGTTGTTTATATGCAAAGAAATATTCAACACGGTAATTATCGCATGAATTTCATCACAGAGTCACAGTAAAGAGAAGTGATTTAATTTCGTCAGAGAAATATCTATGAATATCTGGTGAAAAATGAACATGTGGCCCTGGTAGACAGTACATAATCATATCGGAAAAGATTGCTAAATACGTGTATAACCATAACATAAACATTTTCATATTGCTTTTAGCTTCTTCACTTTGTTTTATTCACCCGCCCTCATTTTATTTCCCCATTCCATGCTGTCCTCGTACTTTCAAATATACATTGTACACTGTGCCTTTGGAACCCTCTCGTAGCATGCTACACAGTGTTTGATTATTCGGTGTCTGGCTGGTTCTGTAACAGCTACCAATCTTGTAATTATACGATTCTGCATTTCAGCACAGTCACAAAACAGAAATGTTCAAAGCAAGTGAACAGCCAAAAAATACCTGTGAACATCAAATAAACCGACTTCTCTCAGTGGCCATGTAGAGCTGGTAGAGGGATCTTGACACCAGTCGCGTCTCCTTTCTGTGTTAGCATGTAGATTAAAAAAAACAAAGGAGTATCTCAAACCGCGACGAATTCGTTTCGAATTGTGATAATATGTGTTGTTTTATTCTTTTATAAAGTAATCGGGTGATATAAAGCATGATAAAAAGCTCGTCACGTTCAGATATTTAACTTCAACTAGCTTTTCTGTTCCAATTACATAAAAATAAACTATTGCGACAGGCAGTATCAGCAATATGCATGATATGTTGCACGTACATGTACTGATACTAATAAACATCTCAGCTAAAGATAGAACATTGTCAACCCTCAGCACTCAGAGGGCACCTGTAGGCCGACGAAGACCGAACACTGATAAATTGTGGATGCTATTTTCATCAAAATCCATTAATAACTTTTAGTTAGGCTGGTGAAAAACAAACAAACAAACAAACAAAAAGAGAAATTAAATAAAATAACATTATTCAGATAGCCAACAACTTGCACAGTTTGGAAAAATAGTTTTTAAAACCCAAATAAATTAATAAAATTATAGAGTACACAAATCCGATATGCGACGTTTGAATGAATATATGCATTAAATTTAAGAGTTTTATACTTCTATGAAATATAAAACCAAATAAATAAATAAATGAATAAATAAATAAATGACAAGATCTTTTCATGGGCAACATTTTGAATTTTTTGCACTTTTTAATACAAATTCTTAAAAATAGAACACTTCTATTGAGTAGTAGCAACAAAACCGAAATGCAGGCTTTTATTTCTATCGTATTCGGAAAAAGCACCACAAATGCAACACAGAAAGTTATTATTAATTATTCTAAAACTAGAAGATCAGAGAGGCGATACTGCCTCCGGATATTCTACCACCAGCTGGAGTAGGCACATTTGTATGGAAAACCAAAAAAGGGATACCACCGCCAGAGTTGTGCTTGACAAGCTCTACAAAATGCAATAAACCAGAGCTCTCAAAAATGCCAAAAGAAGCTAAAAACAGCATAACTTTTGTCAAAATGGTCTGATCAAACTGATTTTCGAACTCAATCTGTAATTTCGTAACATTGAATACTCCTGTGATTTTCAAGCTAATAGGCCTATCGGTATTCCTTAGAATGTGTTTTCAGTGTTGTATCTATCTGAAAAAAAGGGTAAATACCCATAACTTTTGAATAAATGGTCCGATCAGGCTGATTTTCAAACTCGACTTGTGCTGTATGAATAATCATTAGTTCTGTTAGTTTAAAGACATTTAACCTATACAGTGTTAGCCTATCACTAAAAGTGATAGTCAAAAGTCAAAACCCTGAGATTGAGTTGTTTGGCTATATTTTCAGGTCACACAATTAAAATTGTTATGTAGGCCTACTAATGGCATATTCAAGATGTGACTTCCAACTTCTGTGGACCTGAAGGCCTTTACTAGTCACATTTTTAACATCAGTGATAGGCCTACTTACACAATAAAAATTGGTGGTGATTATGGTTTTAAGCATTAGGCCTATGTAATATTGCATCAAAATATTGGCGAAAATTCTATTTTGGCACTGCCACCATATTGACCTTTAAAGGAAAACCACGTTACATATGGCTCTCAAACTCGCAGAAAAAAACTCATAGGACTGAAAGACAGCTTGAATCAGAAAAACAGCCTAGTTGGACCGCCTTTGTGATATGTTCATTTTGGCATTTCAACGTTGGATTTAGAATACCCACGGCCCACGGGCATGAACCGTACGGTAGTTAGGCCTACGTTTGCTGAATGACCAACTACGTAGGCCTATAGCAGATGATTAGGCCCTAAAAATTGGTGGTGATTGTAATTGCATCAAAATTGACAAAAAAAAAAAAAAAAAAAATATATATATATATATATATATATATATATATATATATATATATATATATATATATATATATATATATATANAACTGAGTGCCAACTCTTGTGCTTTTGTCAGAGCATTCTGGGTAGTCTGAAGTTACATAGAAACCAACTTTATATCAAGTACAACATATATTTATCTGGGACCATTGAATCGATACTTTTTCCAACTACAGTTTGTGAAAATATTTTAAGAATGAAATGAGGAAAATAAGAACTAAAATCCAGACAATTTTTAAAAAAAAAAATAAAAAAAAATAAAAAATACAAAAATATATATATATAAAAATATAAATAAAAATAAAAAAAAAAAAATAAAAAAAAAAAAAAATTTTTTTTTTTTTTTTTTTTTTTTTTTTTTTTGTGCACTGCCACCATGGTTAAACACTCTGAAAACAAGTAGCGTTACTTATTTTTTTCTAATTTATACAAATTTGTTGTTGAGCATTATTACGTATTATTGCATCAAAATTGACGAAAACATCTATTTGTGCATCATTTTTTCCCCAGTTTTTGTCGGTACATTTAACTTGGTTTTAAGGTTGTTGTTGTTGATGTTCAAGGGTTGTGCACCGTAACAGTAGCCTATATGAGAGGCCTGATTACCAGTAAATAAGATATCATCATGAAAACTGACATCGTGAACTTCAGCCTTGCAGACAGTTCACATGACATATTTGAGTCCTAGTTTTGAACACAGAAGTAGAGAAAATGCATTCCATTTACTCTACTTCTATGTTTTGAATCAGTGATAGAAACGCTGCTGCACATGCGCGTGCGTTTGACACTTTCGGTGCTACTTCCGACATGAAGATTTCTCAAACCTAGCAACTATGTCAACTATGCTGCAACTTGGCTTAATCCTGTAGTTATACAAGTTCTCGCGGTCACAATCACACGCTCCTCGTCATTTCGCAACACACGTAGACAAGTATTATGGCGGCGGTGTGGGTTGGTTATAAAATCTGTAAAGAAGGAAAGTTGAGAAGAAAGGGCCACGAGAAAGCACAGCCGAGTGCTGGGTTCGTGGCCACGGCGTCTTCTCCCGAGGCCTGCCAATATGTGCACCCACCGGTGTCCCAGACCTCTCCAGCGCAAAATATAACCGACTCTCACCAAAGAGTTGTTAAAAAGAAATCGCTGTTGGAGGCTTACTTGCTGTGGTTGGTACTTGGGTTGTTCGGAGCACATCATTTTTACTTGCATCGTCCATATTTTGGTGTGATGTACCTGACCACTGTTGGGCTTTTTGGTTGCGGGTGGTTGATCGACTTATTCAGAATGCCGATCCTGGTAAAAGATGCCAACAAACGGATTGAAGAACGGACACCTATCCAACTCAGAAAGAGAAGCATTGGAGATGCGTATGCATTGTGGTTACCACTTGGCCTTTGGGGTAAGATTTACAATGTACAAGAAAAACTAATACAAAATACATGTACCTGTATATTGAGGTAACCATTTGGTCTTATAATTAATAGCACATGTAATATTTATGAAAACAAGCAATGTAAATATTAAACAAACATTTTAACTTCCGATATATTAGTATTATACTGTATATATTTATGTTTTCGTGTAGCAAGTAAATTTTTGCATTAGTAAATAATAGTACACTGTAGCAGTGTTAATAGTCTACAGGAATTGTTGTGCTAGTCTTCATCAACATGCATGTCAATATTATACATTCCAGGTATACTGACTCATAATCTCTTGTTCACATTCACTATAAAAGTGTGCTAGTAGACCAGAAAAGATAAAAAGTGACATTTGAAAAGAAGACGGAGGGAAGGTGCAGGGCAATCAACATCCAGTTTGGATTTATTTGGCATTAGACTTTGTACATGTATGCTCTTGAGAATTTCAGAAGCTCTAGAATTTTTGTTTCTGGGGTACCAAAAATTATTAGAATAGTATAATTTTCATGATGATTAACTTCTTGTATTTTAGGTTTACATCATTTCTATTTGAGGCGGCCTGGGATAGGATTGTACTATAGTCTCACTATTGGTGGGCTAGGGACAGGATTTATTTTCGACCTCTTTCGCATGCCATTCCTGGTGAAACGAAGCAACAAGGAACTTGAGGAAGCCTTAAGACAGCCCCAAATTGCATGGAAATATTTTTCTACATGTTATCTAGATGATGCCTATTGCTTGATATTTCCACTGGGTTTCCTTGGTCTACATCATTTTTACCTCCGTAGGTTTAAATGGGGCCTGCTGTACTTGTTAACATTTGGACTTTTTGGTATTGGGTGGATCATTGATTTCTTCCGCCTTCCAAGTTTGGTGAAAGAAGCAAACCAAGAAAACCAACCATCTCGAGCCCATGGATACCCAGCAACCAACTCACCCCTACCATCTTTCCCAGGACAAGCGGTGCCAAACAGTAATCAAAGCCCTGAACATGTTTACCCTAGAATGAATCAAGGTGCGTTTTTCTTCTTGTATTTCCAACAAATAGAGTAAATACTTTTTAAACTTAGAGTCACTTAATTTTTTTTTTTTTTTTGACAGGGCATTATGAATAACAGGTGACAAAGACATATCAAATAAAATAAAAATTTTGGGTATTGCATTATTCACATTCAGACGTATACTGATTATCGCTATTCTTTTACATCAGGTCAAGATGCTGCCCCACCACCCCCATATTCAGAGATTGACAGAGGATCATCACAGGGCATCTAGTACAACAGAAATTGATGACAAGTCAAACCTGTGCCTGAAGTAACCTAGATCATCACTGATCCCGAGTTGCATTTTTACTAGCGTGATAAGTCGGAAAAGGGTTATTGGTAGATTACTCTTATTAGACATCTAATGGGCATACAGTTTTATAATTAACTTTTTAGACAGTCATCATAATTGTCATGGGAAGCCTATTGAACATTGGGCTATGTATCCCCCTGCAGACTCCATGGGTGAAACCGGTATAGTGATACTGAAGTGAAGGTTCTGACACAACTTAAAGGGATAATAACTTTTTGTTTTGGCCAAAAAATGAATTTTCCTGGAGTAAACAACAATTTTCCCATACTTACTAATGGTTAATGAATCCATTTTTACATTCAAAGTTAGTCCCTGGTTTTTTTCTAAAAAGTTTGTTTTTTTGTTATAATCTCTTAAGAGATTATAACAGAGTATAGCCATCGTCATGTGGTCTAAAGACAAGCTCAGCTATCAGAATAATAGCTATAAATGCCGTTTTTGTGGTACAGCAGAATAAATAATATTTCTATGAGTTATTCACAATGTTTTTTATTGTTAAATATAGGTCTGATACGAAGAGTTAATATCCCTTTAAAATGACATCATTCAATCTGACTGAGACTTGATGTTACATGAGGAGTATATATTTTTTTTACTCAAAACGATGTGTTTACTCTCAGGGTCAACAGCCTTTAAGGCCTTAAGATTCTTTATAAATCAGCTTTATCTGCAAATTTAAGTAGGCCAAGTACATGTAAATATTGCCTGCCTTACAGTCAGATTGTGTACTGCAACTTCTGTTATGCCAAGCCCCAAAAATATAAATATGGAAGTTATCTTTGTTGTGAATTTTATACCAAGTACTTATTAAGTGACTTATTGTTCATTAGTGTCATAGTGGTGATTTCACGACCAAACCTCATTAAAAACTTTCACATTTAAATCAAATTAAATCAACATGTGGTAAAAATTGTTCAGATGTCTCAATTATAATATTACATGAATCTGGTAATGTATTTTATTTATTGCAAAGAACTGTAACCAAGTTTTAAAAGGATGTTTTCATTTTTAAAAGAATTGAAAAACTTTATTTATGGCTTCATCTCCTAGTTAAAGTTTGTATCAGGGTCAGTTTAATTATGTTGTTAAAGGTTTCTAATAATATGTCTTAATTTTGTAAACTGGCTTCAATATCTCTGCCTTTCTTTAGGAATATTTTGTGTGCATTAGTACATAAGGAGAATTTTGTATTGTAATCAGAGAAAGATCAGGGATTGGAGATCAGAGATCATCAAAGTAAGTTTGGTCAGTGGAACCAATAGCTGGATTGTCCCCGTCTTAGGAGACTCCTGATCTCTCAGCCAGAAAAATAAACATAGAGATAAGTCAGTTAGTAGTTGATCTTTGGAAAAAATATCATAGCCCTTGTGTTACTTGCTGGAGAAGTAGCTCAGACCAAGTATCCATTGTGATATTAGAATCAAAACTTTGTTGGAAAGTGGCACATAGCAAGGCAATGTCCTGTAATATATTAGTCAATCGTATTTTCAGAAAAATATGCTATTCTCATTATAATAACATTCATTTTTTTCCCTTCTAGTCACAATCTATAACAGGCTGGTGTGAAGACAAATGTTTGTTCGGAAGCATTATTGCAATTAAGACACAAGACCTTATGATCATTAAAGTCTGTATTTTTATGATAGGTCTTATTCTTCACACCCCATCACAAGCACTACAATTGTAAGATCAATACTTTATTTACCACTATCTCTTAAATATTACTTGACATGATACTGATGAATAAAGAATTTTTAACTATGAAATTTTAAGTAAGGTATGCAACAACAAGATATCAAATATCTTGAACTAGAGACAAGAGTCATCCGATCAACTCATTGACAGTAAATTGAAATTTCACAGAAGGTGATGGGGTTCTTGAACAATAAATTCAGCTGTGATTATTAATAGCATTGCAAAAAATCATTGTTGATTTAATATTTCATAAACTAGGTTATCATGGTTCCCTTCAGCCTCTTATGTGATGTCTTTCTGCTATTCCTATGCTTTATCCAGGTGGCCAGCCCATCTGGCGCCCACCCATCACATGGATGTGGAGGTGGTACACAGACTGTGCCCCTTCTGCACCATCATTGACAACAAGACGAAAACCTTTCTCCAGACCCAACTCCTTGGCTACCTGCTTGGCAACAAGGAGTAGGTGGCCTAGCATCTGAAAATGCATGAAGAAAGCACTCTTTTAGCATCTTTACCAGATTCAGTTTAAAGGGGGGTTAATATAATGTGATTCAGTTATGCACTCAATCACTACTCACCAGATGTTACTCATCTATCAAACTACAAATAATTCTTCATTTATAATGCAATTCCACTCTACAGTTAACAGTTAGCTTGTAACCATATAGTGACTTGCAGACAGTGAGAGATCTATGATAATATACACCTGTGCTGGATGCAAGATGTACTGCACACCCAGGTGCAACTAAAACTGTACATGTGATTTATGTACAAACCCCGTCCACTTTCAGATATATCTCAGCTGGAAATGTTTAACCATGCTATTTTGGCGTTCATGTGTGTGTGAGGAAGTTTGGGTGAGAAAAAGCTGGTAGAAACAATCTGACTGATAAATAAGTGACTTCCTGAATGCAGTCCACAAAAGGATTTTATCCACAAACAGCAGTTTGAACAGTAATCAAAACAAATTGGCATGGTTTTCTGCATATATGGTAAACCCCTGGAGGTGAACCACATTTTTCTCAAACAGTGCAACACTGCTACAGTTTTGAAATAATTGCTTGTATGTTTGTTGATGGCTTAATTGTTAATGTGTATTTGGTAACCTTTGATAAATGTGCATGAAAGATTTTTACTTACTGTTAAATTTAATATGTTTCAAATTAACATTTGACAAATTTTGTCGATATTAACCAAAGCAGTGTGTACCTCTTTGTCTCCATCCTCGGCCTTTGAAAGCTGTGACAAAGGTTTGCGTGGAACAACCAGGAAATGAATGGGTGCCTGAGGTGAGAGATCATGAAAAGCAACACACTGGAATTGAAAATGAGAAAATGCTGATTTATCAAATTTGGTAAATGGCTGCTAGATTGCCAAATGTGAGGTCTAGAATTGAAAATGTTTTTGCCAAGAATCAGTAAGATGAAAACAACAATAGAGAGGTGAACCCTAAATAATGTAATACATGTCTAGAAATGCCCTTTTAGTAACTATACATTGATCTCATGAACGCATCATAAAACCTATATAAATCACAGTGTGGTCCGTTACCAGGTGGTACAACATATCCAGTGAACCAGACAGCAGTAGAAACAAACACAAATAAACAAATAAACATATGCAAAATCTGTTATATATGCACACATTTCTAAATTAAAATTACACCCAGCACCTTATCGTCTTCGTGGATGAATTTGCATGGTATTTCACCGCGTGTTATTTTCCCAAATATCGTGTCTCCACCGGCGCTAGCGGTCTGAGCCTTCTCCACCTCGGACATCGTGTTGCCTATTTAATCAGAGTCAGATTTGTATAAGTAATCGAGTTTCGCAATTTTTGTACATAAATTTTCCTCGTAAGAAGAGGCATATCAACTGTTATTTTAGGTAAAATGAAAAGAATGTAATTGAAATTTTGTTTATAATGCGCACCGTAGTCTGGAATTCGAAAATATTTTATTTATTGAAAGTCAAGGTCGCATAAATTGGGTCAGCTGTCAAGAACAGGAAACATGAGAGTTGTCGTTGCTCTTCTAACATGAAGCAGATTGAAGCAAAAATTGTAGTACTTGGCTCTCAGGGTAAGGAAATAACGTACAGTAGGCTACAAGAGGGAGCGTTAGATTTCTAGAGCAAGAATATGTGTATACTTTAACTGAAAAAATTACCATAGTTTTAGGATGGGTACTGCGTATGTGTTACCCTTGCTCTCTCAACCCCACTTGTTGCACTTGAGGGAATAACATCGTCTCATGACTCCTGAGCACGTGCATAAACAACACCTGGTGCTATCGGTATCTTTAAAGGCTATCTTATCCCAAAATTTCCCATTTTATCGCTGTGTAATTTAGTTTGGGGTTTAATTTAAGGCGATCTTTTTCAAATGCTGCATGTATTTTTAGCTTGCTTTTTCTGTCTCTATCACTCCTATTCAAATTTTCTGTATTTACTGAGCATGCTAGAGCTAAAGATAGGTAGGTGTAGATAACTTTGTTATTCTGATTCAGCTTCAAGTCACAGAGCCAAGCATGTGCCATTTGCTTTTCCTCTCAATTTAACACATATTACAAATATTTAAGCCAACAAGTAATAGCCACTAAAAGTGCTGTAGGTTAATTAGTTAAGATTATCAACTCTTTTACCAGTAAAGCTGCAATAAAATTTTAAAATTAATGAAGGCTATCATCCACATAATACAGTATGCAAGAAATTTTTACAAGTGATGTTTTCAGCCCCAAAACAAACTGCTGGGCAGAATGTTCATCAAACAAAAGATTACCTTTAAATTAAAATACAATAAATTGTTTACTTGTAAAAATATACAATATTGGGAATCCATTACCCTGCTTGAATCAAGTTGTGTTGTAAACTTTATAAAGTACCAATAGTAAGAATTGAACAGATTGAAAGAGATCTGCTCCTGTGAAGTTATTTGTTGCAAAAACAAAGGTAAGACAATGAAAATAATTTATTAAGGACATCCTTTCTGTAGTCTCACATGACATCACTCAGTACGTGGTACTGACAGCCTTATCTCAAATGTTTTTTATTGGTGTATGAAGACTTATCTGCAGGTAGTTGATGTCAAATACACTAGTTAAACTGTTACATAGTGTGTGGGCATCTTTTTGAATGCTTTCATTACTACAATACAATGATGACAAAAAGGTTAAAGATAGGTCAAGCAATTGTTAGCTACATGTGGTACTCACTTGTTTACTTACTTAACAAAATAACAAAAGTATCATAAAGCAGTTTTTCCTGAGGTAAACAAAAATTTTCATATTCTTTTAACTTTCCAGTAATTAATGAATTCCTGTGGGCATTCACAGTTAGTTGATTGTTTTTTAAGTGTGCTTTCTGTAATAATCTCTTAACAGATTTACTGAGGATAGTCATCTGTGAATGTCCATGCAGTTTCAGTGGCAAGCTCAAGTTTCAGAATAAACACTGTTTTGGTGGTAAAATGGAATTTATTATATTTCTGTGTGTTGATTACAATGTATTTATTGGGGAATTTTGAATCTCATGTGAAGAGTTGCTATCCCTTTAATACAGCAACAGTATTATAACACTTTTCATTTATACATTCTTACACTATACTATTCCACTAGAGAATAATGAAACTCATTGGAGAGAGGCAATCTGAGATGATTTTCAGTATATACTGCACCTATTAGTCTTCACTCCAGTGCTGCATTGATAACAAAAGGAGACTATATGTGTATCAGATTTGTTCTTTGCAGACATAAGTGTTTTAGTTGCCCAATAAATCATTAATATTTATTTGATATTCTAGGAGTTGGCAAAACCAGTGTTGTGACCAGATATGTTACTCAAACATACAAACATGTCAGTCCTACCATTGGGGCCTCCTTTTTCACCTGCAAAGTGTAAGTCACAATCATCAATCAGATACTTGGTAGATAAACTGTCTGTTTGCTTTGATATTTTTTGGCCTACAAATGTTAAATGGCCTAGGTATAATTTGTATTATATACCAGATTCTCAAAATGATTTTTCAGATTTTGCATTGAAAACTTCTCATACATTTGTGAATAACCATCTGTTATTACACTTCTGGTCATGTGTTTTATAGTTCACTATCAGTATAATTACCTCCATCAGTGTAATTTATGAAGTGTCTTCTGTAGTCAGATTGACAAATCAGCTTCAGAGACAGAGTAATATACTGTAATTTTAGTTAAAGCATGGATGATGATGGACTGTCTTAATTTATTGTTTAGAACACCAAGATTAGCCTGTATTATTTGGTAGAAATCAATATGCTTCAGTTACTAAAATTCTCTTGATAAAAAAGTAGAAATATCAGGATTTAATGTGTACTTTTCAGGACCATAGGGGACTACAGAGTGAAAATGAGTGTGTGGGACACAGCAGGTCAGGAGAGGTTCAGATCTATGGTACGTAGCAGGAGCTTCACATGTCTTGTTGCTGTGGTGAGCTTCACATATCATATTTCCTTGGTGAACTTCACGTGACATGTTGCCTCATTTGAGTAATATGAGTGGAGTGAAGCCCCATGTATTGTTGTCTGCCTATGCTTTATTGCTATTGATCTGCCACACCTATAAAATAGAACTTAGATATCTTTTATATGGATTTTTGTAATTTTGCTATGATGGTGTCTGCCCAGATAGAGAAACTTATTTGTAAATATATGTAGCTCATTATCTGAGTCCCTTACCCCTTATCTTAAACATATATAAACAGTTGATTACACCTACTGGGCTGGACTCCAAGAGCTATTTCTGTGACTAGGTCATTTGGAGGCTACTAATCAGAGTTGTACATTGAATGTATGTGCTGATTATGTAACTATATTATTATCACTGTCATTCCAGGCTCCCATGTATTACAGGAAAGCCAATGCTGCAATGCTTGTATATGATATTTCTAATAAAGATTCTTTTGATGATATAAAAATGTGGGTCAATGGTAAGTAGTGGTTCTGCACATATCTGTATTTAACTTGTAGTAATACATATATATATAATTTTAAACTGTCTGTAACATCAGGCAACATTTAAGATACAAGATATTTGAAAAATGATATTGTCCCCAAATATTGTTAAACAAGAAAAGTACCAATTTTTGTCAACCATCACACTTATTTTATAGGGATAAAGTATTACATAAGTACAAAATCAAATGTTGCATAAAGAAAAAAAAATGTTCATTGCCAACAGCAGTACTTAGGAATAATGAAAAATACACAATTTATATTGATTATAAATAATTAACTTGAGTAATTTTTATGTACAGACACAGATGTGTCTGTACATATAGCCATCATCTGCGTCTGTCGTCGCCGTCGTCGCCGTCGCCGTCGCCGTGCACTTTTACCGATAACACGATAAGTGGAAAACCATTTTGCCTTTTGATTTGAAACTTACAGAACTGATGAATATTCATAATACGCAGGTCGAGTTCGAAAATCAGCATGATCGGGTCACTTTTAGGGAATTTATGCTGTTTTTTCACTTTTTCAGCATATATGCAGCACCGATAACACAATAAGTGGAAAACCATTTTACCTTTTGGCTTGAAACTTACAGAACTGATGAAAATTCTTAATACGCAGGTCAAGTTCGAAAATCAGCATGATTGGGCCATTTTTAGGGAATTTATGCTGTTTTTTCACTTTTTCAGCATATATGCAGCACCGATAACACAATAAGTGGAAAACCATTTTACCTTTTGGCTTGAAACTTACAGAACTGATGAA